TCATGTGGCTAGAACAGAACATGTGGATACTGAGTGGTTTAAAACCAGGGAAGGTGTCTATCAGAAATATATCTTTTCATCATACTTGTTCAATCTGTAAGTTAAGCAAATAATCCAAAAAAGTAGAACTATATGAAGAAGAATGTGACATCAGGACTAATGGAAAGCTCATTACCAACCTGCAGTATGCAGACAACAACCTTGCTTATTAAAAGCAAAGAGGACTTGAAACATTTGCTGAGACTAACCAAAGCCAGCGCCTACAGTATGGCTTACACACTAACATAGACACAAATCCTCACAACTGGGCCAACAGGAAACATCATGACAAATGGAGAAAAGATTGACATTCTTTACTTGGATCCACAATCAACACCATGGAAGAAACCAGTCAAGAAATCCAACAACTTATTGTATTGTGCAAATGTGCTGCAAAAGACCTGTTTTAAGAGCCAAGATGTCATTCTGAGGACTAAGAATCACCTGATATGCATGCAAAAGAATGAACGGGGAAAACTGATGATTTGAATTATGGTGTTGGTGGAGAACACTGAATATATCATTGAGAAGGAACAAATCTGTGTTGGAAAAAGTATAGCCAGAATTCTCCTTAGTAGCAAAGATGGTGAGACTGTCTCAGATACTTGGACCACGTATCAGGAAGGACCTTCCCTGGAGGTCCCTGGAGAAGACATCATGCTTGATAAAGACAGGGAAAGAGGAACCACCTCAAATGGGGTGGATTGGCACAGTGGCTGTAACAATGGGCTCAAACAGAGCAATGATGGTGAGGATGGCCCAGGGCCAGGAAGTGTTTTACTCTGTTGTGCACAAGGTTTCTGAGTCAGAACCAACTCAATGACACCTAACAATAAAAGCAAAGGTTAATGATCATGAACATCTCTTCATGTTTGCAGGCTGCTTGGATTTTTTCTATGGTGAAGGTCCTTTGCTCATCTTGTAATTAACACCTAACAGTAACAAGCAATAACCACTGCAATCTGGCTAAAGGACAGGAAGTGCCCACCTGGTGGGGTCCCCTGACCAGAGTGCAATTTCTCCACAATGACTTTTAGTACATGACCCCACCACACCTCTTGGGCACCATGCTCATCCCCTTTGCCAGTTGTAAGGGATCAGCAGTGTAGCATGGTTTCTGGGGACCTCAGCTACACTGAGGTCAGCCTGACAGGAGGGCCAGCACAGTGAGTACAGAGGCCCAGGAATTAGCAGCACTGTACTACTCCCATCCTAGGGCTGAGGTTGCCCCCACCTGGCAGGGCTTGAAGCCAATCAGTGACCCTCTGAGGGTCACTCCATCAGTAGAATGCATGGAAGGGCTGCCAGAGCTCCAGACCCACAACTGTCAAGTGTGCTTTAGCAATGTAATTTTTTTTTTTTTTT